TATAGTCTATATATATATATATATATATATATATATAGAGCACACACACATTTTGTGTGTGTGGGGGGGGGGAGGGAGACACGTACATATAGGGTGTCCCAAACTCCCACATTTGGAATACACTACGTGATTCTTTATAAAGAAGCTAAAAGAAACAACTTATATATGTAGAACAAAGTATGTATTTAAAACTGTTTGGAATGGGTTCGATCGAAATTGTTTAATTATTTCTTAAATTTTTATTATCTTTTCTAGGAAAAATAAAACAATTTTTTATTTAATTAGAATCTATTTTGAACAATTTCATAATACTTATCCAACTCAATGTTCTTAATTTTAAATAGTTAAATGTTTTAATGGTACTGATTGCAAATTTTATTAATTTTCTAATTATTTTGTTTATTGTAATATTCATTCAGGTCGATTTATATGATTTAGAGTGATTAAACTGGTGGTACTTGTCTCTAGTGAAAATTATATTTTAGCGTTGTAGTGACGAAACTTTTTAAGTAAGATTTCAACGCTTTCTCTCATATTTTTTAAAAGTACAAATAGTAAATAAAAACTTACAATATTAAATTAATTAATGTTAAATATACGTCTAAAAATTTATTTTATAATAGAGATTAGAAACTTATCTCTTTCTTATTTATATTTCTTCATTTATTTTGTAGGGATTTTTTTTTGTTTAATATAAAGAAAATCACTAGAAGCATTCTGAAATAAAAATTACATTTTGTACAATAAGATTGTATCAAATTTTTTATTGAGTGGAAAAGCATACGATATTAATCGTATTGTTTTTACGATATACATTCAAGGTTACGGCCTAAAATTTTTTATAGATTTCATAATTATTATATATGAAATTCATAAACAAAGTAATGTAAAGTATAAAATTTACAATATAAAATTATGAACAGTAAAGTAAAAGTCGAAAAAAATATAAATAAGTAAAAATCAATTAAACAGAATAGTTTCAAAACTTAGGAAAATAAATAGAAAAAGAGAGAAAGAAGGAATGAGGAGTGATTTCTCTAAAAATGGCTGATAGCCAATCAAAAAGCTTATAAGTCATTTTTAGAGGCACTTTTATAAAAGAAGATTCAAGAATTATGTCGTTTGTTATTCTTGTTATTTACCAAATTATTTACTAAACAAGTTATTTAAATAGGGACAAGTGATGATGTAACTAGACTTGTTGATTTGTCTTTTGCTGGAAAATATTTCAAAATGTAAAAGCATGTAAAAGCAAAAAAAAAAGAAACAGACCTTGAGACACGTTTTTATGTGCCTTCATGCGTATCCGCTCGAATGTTTTAACTACTGTCGTTGCCGTTCCTACATGAGATCCAGCAACATCGGGCGCGCACGGACGATATATGTAGCTGTATGGGGGCGCGATCAGTATTTTCTTACGGTGCGAATCCAAAATGTCAGACATCGATAAATGGATAGAGATCGCGAAAGAATGCAAATACTTGCCCGAGAATGATCTCAAGGTAAATAACACGGTTTGTGCCGGTCGGTTTATCGCGCGATAACCACCGCGCGAATAAGCACCGATTAGGTTACTCGTCTCTACGCATCTCTTCGCGTTTCATTTCTTCCGATCATAATCACATTAATTTTTATCATTGCCGACAGAAACTCTGTGACTTGGTATGTGATTTATTACTGGAAGAATCCAACATCCAGCCTGTATCTACTCCGGTGACAGTATGCGGTGATATCCACGGTCAGGTAAGTTCCGGATATATACCCTAACCTCAAATTCGGAGTATCACTGTCCATTGCTATTATGTAGGGTCGACGTAAAGTCATCAGATTAGATTTTTAATCTTTCAGATTGTTATATGTGCATCTATCACATTCATCATTAACATATCGTTATTCATATTGCTTTTTATAATTGTTTAATTTTCAAATGCTATCACTGTATAGTTATAATATGAATATATATTTGGACTACTCATGTCTTCGTGCTGTTACAGTTTTACGATTTAGAGGAACTGTTCCGTAACGGTGGTCCTGTACCGGACACGAATTACATATTCCTGGGAGATTTTGTCGATCGGGGTTACTATAGTTTAGAAACATTTACTCGTCTGCTCACGCTTAAAGCTAAATGGTCCGACAGGATAACGTTACTTCGTGGTAATCATGAATCTAGACAAATCACGCATGTTTATGGATTTTATGGTAAATATGTAATAACATTTGTTTTTTGATAATATACTTGATATTTATTTTAAAATAAAATTTTGATTTTATTCTTTTCTTTATTTGTCTGTTATAGATGAATGCCAAAACAAGTATGGTAATGCTAATGCATGGAAATACTGTTGTAGGGTATTTGACTTGCTCACAGTTGCTGCCGTGAGTGTTTGTTTGAAAGATTTTTCTAAAAACTAAAATTTTATATTTTATTATATTAAGTAAAATACTGTTTCAGTTAATCGATGAACAGGTTCTTTGTGTACATGGTGGATTGTCTCCAGCTATTAGAACACTAGATCAAATTAGAACGATTGAAAGGAATCAAGAGATTCCACACAAAGGTATATATTAATTACAAAATTAGTTGATTGTATTATTATTGTGTATTAAAATTGAATAATTTTGTTTATCGCAATATAGGTGCTTTCTGTGATTTGGTCTGGTCTGATCCAGAGGATGTAGAAACATGGACGGTAAGTCCACGTGGCGCAGGTTGGCTGTTCGGTAGTAAGGTGACTTACATGTTTATGGAAGTGAATGACCTTAAACTCATCTGTAGGGCACATCAACTAGTACAGGAAGGTATGTTTTTGTCCACGAATAGTAACATTTCATCTTTATTATAATAATCTTTATTACAGTTTTTTAAAAATATTTTGCAAATAGGTACTTATAATGCATATTTCTTATCTTGTAGGTTATAGGTACATGTTTAATGATAAACTTGTCACAGTGTGGTCAGCTCCAAATTATTGTTACCGATGTGGTAACATAGCTAGTATCATGCAGTTCACGACAGTGGATCAGAGAACACCCGTGCTATTCCAGGCAGTGCCTGATTCCGAAAGAGTAATCCCACCTCTAACACCCACTCCGTACTTTTTGTGATCTATCTTAGTGGCTCATTTGTACGGGTGCAGAAGAGACATGTCTGTGTCTAGACTCTACGGAATCACATGATTTGATTAGCCAGACCCAGGCTGATACCATGACGGAACCATAACATTCATGAAAATATATCACAAACCGATTATACATTACCTAAAGAGAGTTTTGATTCCCTTAAAAAAAATTGTTTAATGCGTTCTACGATCAAAGTACGATACTTAGAGGACTGAATTGTCGTGTGATTGCTCTTATTCAGGGAATGTTCTTTAGATTTTTTAAGAACTTTATCAGGTTTTACATGTTGTAAAGCTAAACTTTTATATATATACATAGTGTCTGCCATTGCATCAGCCTGATTTTTGTAGCTCGAGAAAAAAGGAAATGATATTTTGCATCAGAGAAAATGTGAACATTTTGTGGTCTAGACGCTTTTGCTGTCTACTATGTACATTCTGTAGAACATTCATATCTCAGAGCAGCATTCTGGACTTTAATGTTCAAAAGACTAAGAGCTTTTAAATAATTTATGAGTGCGAATAACGCAAAATAGTCCAGTGCTGTATGTGTGAGTAATTAATTAAAAAAGAAAAAAAAAGAAACGTTCAAACATTCCGGCAAAAAGATACACTCTCTGAGTACAGTGAATGCTTCTCTGACATAATCGTTGTGCGTAGAATTCAGGTTTATTAAAGCGTGAGAATATATAGTACTGTTAAGGTCTTCCTGAACATATAAATGATCTGTTTCTGGTTTAGGTACTGTGTGCTGCGTGCTGTTCTTTTTTCTTCTAAAAGCGCAATCAGTGTTCTTAGCAAGAATCGTAAATTCGGCTCTTTTTTGCCGAAGTACAAATAGCGTATAGCAGTAGCCAAAGTTTTCCTGCTTAGGTAAGGAAATCCGATAATTTTTGTCGGATTGTTGTAGTATCTGTAGAGACTTTTCTCTTATTATTTTTATGCACATGACATTTTTTTTATGCTTAATTTTAAGAAATTCTAAGCTCAAATATCGTCCTTAAATTATCTTGACACGCATTTTTCGAAAAAGATATTCACCATTTGTTCGTCACACTTCTCTCTCTCTCTCTCTATATATATATATATATATGTACAAAGCAATATTTTCAAATACTATTGCATTCTCCGAATCTTTGTACAGTTTCCAATATTGTATGCCAAATCGCTGTCGTTCTAAATAATCGTAATTAGCTAATTGTTATAAGTTCATTAATGTAGGGAGCAACTTTAAAAGGAAAAAAACCGAGACCCTTAGCAATGTGCCTCTAAATTAATAAGTGTTTGTGTAATATAATGATACGATATTGATATGACGTAATTAATGGAAATGCACCGGCCATTGCGTATCATAAGCCTGAATTCTGACCATCGATTTTTACTAGCTCACGATAATTCCTAATCGATCACAGACCCGACAAATACGGCATTGGCATTGTGGCACAGGCTGTCAAGTTGAAACTACTCTATTTTGAATTTTGTGATATAGACCGATGGAGGCGTGTGCAATGATCATGTCGATGTTTATAACGACTCTCCTTGTCGCACCATTCGAAGAGATTTTGTGAAGACCCGTTATTCCAAGAAATATAATAAACTTTTGAACAGTGCCTTCAGAACTATAACATGACGGTCTACTAGAAATATAAATGCTTTCTTACCGACAGATTATCATAGACGAACTAACATAAGGACGAAGAATCATACAAATACCAGAGCTTAACGAGAAATGCGTATATGTGGAAATTTTTATCGCTCTTTCTTTCTCTTTTTACTCTACTTCATAAACTCTTTATTATTTAGAATTATAGCTATTATTTAGAACAAATCTTTCCTTTTTCGAAACTTTTCTACGATATTTACGTTTTACTACCCTTTTAGATCTTACTCTTACATTTTACATCACACACGCGGGATATTCTCTATTTGTACTACAATTTATTACAACGTATGTACAATTGCGCAATACTTTGTGCGAGTAATGTATTACATTAGATAGAAGAGTGCATCTAGAATGAAATGGGACACGGAGCTTGCGTTACAAACTCGACTCGCTACATTTGCAGCCTCCGAGTCGTGAAACGGTGTCGCAACGACGGGAACGCCCTATCTGCGGTACGGGTATCATAGAAATCCTAAAAAAAAGTATTAGCTTCTGTATCTATCGGGGTGTTCGCGGCGTTTCGTTTACTGGAATGCCTCTGTCTGTGATCGCTTTAATCTTATCGAAGTGTCCAAGCGCTTGCGGCGACTCGATATTAATAATCGGTAAGCTCGCGAGAAAGAGAGAGAACAAATAAAGACAATTTGCAAGATAAAATAAAAATAACGAAGACTAATTTAGCTTAATATGCTCCGTGCGGGAGCTTGAACACTGCGCATAATCCTTAAAGATCTCACAGGTAGACACCATTATAAAACGATCATCATGTACCTTGAAAGTATAGACTTTGTTATGTTAATGTAATGAAGAACGTCTGTAATAAAAATGCGCAAAAAATCGCACTCGATCGTAATATGTCAATAATATTCCCGGTATGTGTGCGTGCGTGGGTGTGTATGTGTGTGTATATATATACATATATATACGTATGTGCATTTATTATTGCGATAGTGAAAACAAGTACAAATCGATATGAAGGAGCAGCATGCA